GGCCCTCTGCCCGGGGCAGGCTGCCCTCGGCCCCCGGCTTGGGGCGAGCCGTCACGGCCCTCAGGAGCAAGAAGGCAAGCAGCTGTAACCCAAGACCACCAGTAAGGTGATAAAGCGTCCTCCCTTCCCCCCTTTATAGCTACACCCCTGGTCAGCATGAAGAAGCCAGAGAGTCGGCATCCAATTCCCAAATCAGTAAGACAATTGGTTTAATTACTATTGGAAAATGCTTGTCATTCCTCTGTAGCATCTGGTCCCCACTGGGCCCTCATCATTTGCTTCACCTGCTCCCTCCACCGACCAAACTGTGCAGCTCTGCAACTGCATCCTGGACCATCCTCACCCTTCTGCCCCCAACGCTCACCTCCTTGTACTCCCAATATGTTTTTCCCAATAAAAAAAAATATTAAAAAAAAAGAAAAGTTTGCTTGAAACTACAGAATATTTATTTCCAAGTCTAATATATTTTCTTTATAAACAGCATTTGGATACAGTGATTAAGTAGATGCTCCTAAACATGCCCAATGTATTAGCACAGATGCACCAGAGGGCAAACTGTGCATTCATGTGTTCCTGCTCACTGGAAAACAAAAGCTGTGCCTGGTTATATCCAAACATCTTGATGGAGTGTGCCACTGAGGGCACTCTACAAATGTGGTGGTTATTTATCTCTGTGTGTGTGTGTGTGTGTGTGTGTGTGTGTGTGTCTACTCTTGAATAATTTCCCCTCATACTTTCATTTTTATTATTTACACTTATATCACTCATCTGACTTTAGATCCGTTTAAACTCATTTTGCCATCAGTTCCATTAAAAAAAATTCTATATAGATCATATTTCAATTCCAAGCTACTCTGTTTCTTTCTCTACCAATTCTCCATTAATTTATTCCATCCATGCACTGTGTTAGATAAATTAACTGCTGATAAGAGATAGCTTTCACTTGCCTCTTACTATCAATCTATTTGTTTTGGAAAATAATATACATGGGAATTTTAGATGCAAATGCTAACATCTGTCACATTTTATGTGCTAATCCTTGCTTTAAAAAAAAACCTCACCAATTATCAAATGTAGACATTTATACTCTTAACAATGGTCAATTTTTTCCTTTTTTCTCTATAGTATCAAATTGGTAACTATGGTGAAGGCCACTAAATGGGACTCTAAGGATTCCAGAAAGATGTGCATTCTCTGTATGGGAATAAAGCAGGAAACCTTTCTGTTGCAGTAGAAAAGGTTTTATTTATACATATACACACATATCTCAGTAACCAAATTACCAACTCTGTCATTGTACTTCTGTATTTTCATGCTTTAGAAAGTTGAAAACATGTTTTTTTCCATTTTAAGTGTAATTCATTCATTCCTGTTTGTATGACTTTCATAATTATTAAAAATAATCTAACAGATTAATTCTTATCTGTAGATGGAGGGGAAACAGTTCCTACTAGTCGAGCACAAGTGCAAATACATAGCCGGATGAAAGCACAGCATTTATATGGCATTTATAGGGCCTCAGCACTTCTCCCAAAAATGCCACATCTACCTCAGATCCTGAGGAATATCTTCTAGGATGGCCAGACTTTAAGAAATCTGCCATTCCAGCTGTTCCTCATTAAGGTTGCTAAAGTATTGAGTTCTTGGCAACTCATGCACATAGACTACCATGTCTTATTGCAATCATGAGATGGTAAAAGAAATATGTTAACATTCCCCAAGTGTTGGTATGCAGAAAGGAAGCATGAACTCCCATCAATTCAGAGGATTATGGCCGAGTTCTCGTTAAGCCTAACTCTACATTTTTAAAAACAATAAAATATATGCTCTGTTGAGATTCTGAGGAACTGTATCTAGAAATATCCCCTTCACTTAATTGGACTTTGAATGTGAGTTCACTTTATTAAACTTTGCCTTCTAGTGTGTCTTTTTAAAATATTATAAAGAATACAGTACTGAACTCAGTATTTGGGGGGGGGTATAAAACAAATGACTGCTGGTTAAATGCACAGAAAGAATATTTAAAATCAGAAGAAAAGAGTCTTTCATTACCTAAAACCAAACAAAAATGATTAAAAAACTAAATAGTGCTGCAAACTACTTTTACAACTACAGTGTCCTACCTGGTCTCTATGTATTTAGAGGGAACTGCATAAATAAAAACAAAATCATGTAAAGCACTTTTTCAAAACACTGCTTCTCAGCCAAGGACTAGTACAGATTCATTCTACTGCTAGGTGCCAGTGACCCTTTGCCTTGCTTTATTGGCAACGTTTTGGTGACGCATCCTATACTAAGAGAAAGCGTAGGACGAGAACCAACTCCACGGCGTTACTTCTTCTCATGCTTCTTGGTCAGTACCCCCACCCCGACCTGGAAGCTGCTTTCTGGGTCCCCCGTCCCCTCTTCCTTCCGCTGACTTTCCTGGGAGACCTGTCGCACAGCTCGCAGGATGGCATTCTGCACAATCTGTTTGCTGGCATTCTGCAGCTTCACTTCTTCAGGCTCATTTCCAGGTTTCTCACCTAGCCAGAAATATGAATGGAACACACAAACAAAAAGCAATGTTAATTTGAAAAATAGTGGCTGAGAGGGAAGAGGGTAACAGTGGGAGCAAAGATGGAAAACTATTAGAACATCTAGAGTGACCCAGCTTACTGTGCAGAATCCTCCATGGCGCATGGTACTAACACCCTCACTTATTAATGTGTTTCACATGATGGTGCTTGAGGTGCTGTAATGTAGTTCTCATTGGAAAGGAAGAGACTCATTCATGCCTCTTTCCTTTCATTTTGCTTCTTTCCTCCTCCCATGTGGAAAAGGTCATCATACTTGCAAAGGTGGAAGGTCAGTTGAAAGACCCTCAACAAGATGGCTTGACACAGTGACTGCAGCACTGGGCTCAAGTGTGTCAAAGATGATGCGGATGGCACAGAATAGACTGGGGTTCAGATCTGTTGTTCATAGGGTCACTAGGAGCCAAAGTCAGATGGCACCGAGCAACAAAATAGTATGTGGAATTTAGGGAGTTCTGGTGGCAAAGCCCATAGAGAGCTGTGCTGCTAACCCAATGGTGCACTTCTCTGGAGGTTTGAATCCATGAGAATCCCCAAGGAAGAAAGATAGGCACTCACTATCCATGTGATTTACAGCCTCCGAAACCTGCGGGAGTGTCAGCTATGACTTGGTTCAAACTGAAAAGCTGTGAATATTGAAAGACATAAAATACAATACAATTAGGTGTTGTGGTCTTCTTGTGATGATGTTGTTATTATTATGTGCCATAGAGATGCTTTATAGCAATCCTATATAAGTCTAACCCTGGCCCTTTCCTGAGCCAGTCTCATTGTCCCCGACACACCTACCCCCATTACCCTTGTTATTGTGAAAATCTATCTCATCTGGGGTCTTCCTCTCCTCCATAGTCCCTCCACCCTTCCAAGCATGATTTGCTTCCTCAAGGACTGGTCCTTCCTGGAAACATGCCCAAAGTATGTGTAATGGAGCTTCAAAATCCTTGCCTCCAAGAAGAAACTTGTTTTCACAAACTTGTTTTCACCTTCTCCATGACAGAGCTATTTGATAGCATGAAGAAAAAAAAGCCAATCTTCTGAGCATAGCCCAGAATCCAGTCTTAAAGTAAGCTTTGGAGCTGTGTATCAGCCCTGCCATAGACAAATAGGCAATGGAAAACTTCTCTTTTAAAGGCCAAATAAATAAATATTTTAGGCTCCTGAGTCCTATAGTTTTGTAACAACTACTTTGCTCTGCTTTTGTAGCATGAAATCAGCTGTGAACAATGAGTAATTGAATGGATGTAGCTCTGTTTCAATAAAACTTTAAAGGGGTGGGGGAGAAACCAGCAACTCAAAATGGCTTCTGGTATGATTTGTCCTATGGATATGTTTTGCCAACTTCTGATTTAGAAAGATAGATATTTTCTAATTTGAAGACAAGGCATTCTATTCAATATTGACTCTTCACCCTTAAAACACACATGGGCAAAACCCTGATTTTATTTTAATAGCTAAATTCTGACCAATGAGATATAATGGAATTTTATTAAGTGAGAAGTCTGAAAAACTAAGGGTTTTTTCTTTCAGAATTTTTTATGAAATTGTGGAATCAGAATTTCTTTAAGGAAGACTAATTTTTCACTCTTAAAATCTTGCAACTCATTGGAGAAAAACGAAGCAGATTATTATGATTAATGTCCTTAAAACCAGCTGATTGTAATATTAAACCACATGAAACTAGTTTTATAGCAACACCTAGATGGATTATATAGGTAAGATACTGCATAACATGGCCTGTGTCAGCTTGGCTAGGCCATATTATGAAAAATATTTTTTAAAGCAATTAAGTCTTTTGCTCTTTCCTCATCCTACAACCTGTAACACTGATGTGATGACTATGATAATAGGTGCTAATCATCACTGTGAGAGAAGCTTTAAATGGAAACCATGTGATGTGAAGAGATTATGGAGTTAAAAAGAAAGTTTCAAGAATCCAAACAATGAAGAAGTTGCCATTACCAAGTTAGATCATTCACCTCCATACTTCTATCAGATCAGAAAATGTATCTTATTTAAATCAAATTTTGTATTTTCTTTCATTGTACATCAAACTAATACAAAGTAGAATGATCATTAATCAAATACATGAGTAAAGTACAATCTGAAATTTTAAATTCTACCTGCTTATATTTATAATGATAACTAAGATGAGCATTATTCATTATATTAAATAATCCTTTCATAGGTTTCCTCTATTGATATATGGTGCTACTATGAAAATATATTTAATAAATAGATAGTTTTCACAAAGGTTGATTCATGGATCACAGAATTGATACATTTTTCAGAAAAAGAAAAAAATATCCCATAAGAGAATATTGACTCATTCTGGAAGACCAGGCCACACCTGGTTCTAGGAAGATGACAAGCACTCATTTCGAACCCCAGATTCTCTTCCCTGTTCAGCTGAGACTCCGACTGCTCAGGCTCCAGCTGCTCGTCCCTTCCTTCTTTGTCGCCCTCAGGGCAAGGTCAGTATGTACAGCCAAAAGCTCAGGAGTCCAGCTAATGCCCTCTACCTCCGACCAACAACATCCCTTTCGAGTTTGGGTTTTATTAATCTACTTTATTCATTTACAAAGTGTATGAGAAAAACCGGCAACAATAGCTTTAATTAAAAAAAAAAAGAGTAAACAAAAAAGAATACAAAGAAATGCACGGGATAAGGCCAGGAAGGGGATTTAGCACAGAACTTTCCTAGCCCACAAAGAGATAAGTTACAGTCTCCCATACATAATTACCACCTAGAAATCTCCTTTAGCATCTATCATCTAATCCCTTTGTTTGCCTCCCATATGGTCATGACATACTAAATCACATCTATAGGATTTAGTCAGCATCTGGCCCCAAGGTACTCCAGTTCTCAGGAATCAAGATCAAAACCCAAAAGGAAGTCTCAAAGGTGATTCCACACATGCAATTGCCATTTGTTCAGCCTTTGGATCACTAGCAATATGCCTTGCAATATTTACAATCTGGTAAATGAGATAAAATGAATCTATAAATGAGAGAAAAAAATATACCAAAATAAAGAAAGTGGAAAGTCCGGTTTACACCAAACCAAGCAAAGCAGGAATCTAGAACCAAGTTTGTAAGAAAAACACAAATTTTAAAAAGACAGAGAAAAATGCTGAATAGTTCCTACCAAAAAGAATGAACAGTAATAAACTGTAGTATTAAGAGACTCTCAGCTCATTGCCATCAAGTCAGAACTGATTCATAGCTAACACATGAGCACGTTTTCAGAGACTGTAAATTGCTCATGATGAGATTGCCCATCTTTCTTCTTCAGAGCAACTGGTAGATTCAAACCACCTGCTTTCGGATTGGTAGCGTACAGTCCACTAGGCCACCAGAGCTTACTAAGAGATTCTAGGATATAATTGTTAAGAATATGCATTTGAAGCATTTCAGAATTCATATGATTTCTCACTTGAACATGAGCTAATAAAGTCTATTTTAGAAAAATCACTGATGGCTTAACATAATCAACATGTAGTGAGGTTCTTGATATAGAGTAAGCACCTAGAAAATGCTGACAGTGCCTATTATTATATATTAGTTGGGGCAGAGAATGAGATATTGTTACACAGACAAACAAAAGCAGGATAGCTCACATATGTCACAGTACAGAGTTACTACAACTTATCTAAGGATTCACCCTCCTATCTTATTAGTCTATCATTTTCCATTACATTTCATTACTTTTCATGAGTGCAGGTGGTTAATCTAATTTGCCTAACATCCTTCTGTTGTTGTCATTGTTTCTGTGTACCATCGAGTTGGAACCAGCCTATAGCTGACCCTCTAGTGCATTTTCAGAGGCAATTAATTGCATGGGAGGAGATTGCCTATCTTTCTCCCATGAAGCACTTGGTGGATTTGGACCACATGTCTTCAGGATTGCAGCACAGCTTCTTAAAATTAATCCACCACAGCTCTCTTACTAAAAAGTATAAGAAGAGAAAAGGTGAGTGCAAGTAATTTTCTAGTGTTAAGGAGTTTCAATCCCAACCCAAAGGCATGTGGTACCAGCTGCTCCTGCAGAGAAAGATGTGCAATCTCTTGCTGTGCCATTTACAGCCTCTGAAAACCCACGGAGGGTCGGCTATGAGCTGACTCAGAATTCAACAGAATTGTCATACAAGAGGCTAAACTCTAAAATTTTTAGAAAAAGTACAATAACTCAACAACACAAAAGGCAAGCAAGTCCATTACATAATGAACAGAGGACATGAAAGACACTTCACTTACAAAAAATTCAGATGAGGAAATTCTCAAGATCATTAGCTATTAGAAAGATGCAAATCAAAACAGTGAGCTATTGTCTCATCATAGTAACAATACCAAGGTTCAACAAGTCGAAAACAACAAATGCTGGAGAGGGTGGGAAAAGATTGTAACTTTTATATATTGCTGGTGGGAATGTAAAAATTGCACAGTCTTTATGGAAAGCTGTTTATTACTTCCTTAGAAAGTTGGGAATATAAATACCACTTGATCCAGCAATCTCACTGCTAGGAATCTATGCTAAAGAAATAAGAACTGCATCACAAACTGATACATGGACACCCATAGTTACTGCAGCATTATTTACAATTACAAAGATTCAAATAACTCCAGCGTTCACCAGTGGATGAATAGCAGAAAACAACGCAGTACATTCACACAAGGAGCACCATGTAACATTAACGAATGACAGGGATCTTTGGTAAGGAGTTGCTCTGCTCATCCAGAGATTGATCCTCTCTGGCTTTGAATCCAACTACAGCTCCTGGGGAGAAAGATAGGTTCTCTCTTCCTTGGTGATTTACAACTTCAACAACCCACTGGAGACTCAGCTATGAGTCAGTTCTGATTCGATAGCTCTGTGTGTATGAGTGTGTGTGTGTGTGCATGTGTGTGTGTGTGTGTGAGAGAGAGAGAGAGAGAGATGAAACACAACATAA